ATGATCTCCTGAGGTCCCTTCTAACCCTCACTGTTCTGGGATTCTGTGAATATAGTTTTTGGAGTACAGACAGATTCTCAGATTCTCTGATCACGGGTCTCAGATGTAAAGCCTGTGATTGAAGACAAACTGAGAGTCATGAGAGAATCTGAAATAGACAGAACCTTATGTCTTCATATGGTACCTTCAATATGGATTAGAGTCCTTTAAGGTGTCCCATGATTCAAGCAGCCTAATGTAGGCTATTTTAGGGAGCTACTGAGGGATAGTGAGGCTGCTGCAGCTCCATGCTCCCAAGTTCTACAGCCCTGAGCCACAGCCCCACTCACTCACACACACTGGATCCACCAGATGACAAACTCCTCTGTCAGTCAACCTCCAGACTCCACAGTTTCTCTCAGTCCCCCTGAAAGACTTCTTGCCCCTGGAGTCACGCACAGCTGGCTCCCAAATCATGTGCTTGCTGGCCAGTCTGGCTTGATCATGGCTAGTGATCACAGCCTCACTCGCTGCTGGCACTCCAGAAACACACACACACAGAACTGAGACCTCCTCGTGCAGGAAAACAACTAGAAATAGAATTTGGTGAGAAGATAGGGCAGACTGCACTGACAAGGTGCAGAGCAGGGACAGACAACTGCACTGACCTTCCTACATGAGACTGACACCTTTCATTGCCATATTCTCCCTAAACAGCCCCGTAATACATCTTGTGTGAGTCCAAAATCCTCTTCCCTTGCATCCCATAACATGTCCTATACCGTCCAGGCAGTAACCCCCACAGTGTGGAAGGTGACTGGTTTGTAAGCCTCCCCAGGGCTGGTTTCACAGCTGGACAATGGGGTAATGGCTCTCCTGGGACAGGAGCTCTGTTCCTCCCATGGGGTTACTGGGACTCCCCTGCCTTTGGTGGGCTGATGGTGCACCAGTGATGGCCCTGGGTGTCATTCTGTCAGAAAATTACTCAGGTTGCTCCTCCTGCCATTGTTCCTCTGTGCTTCTTTGTATGGGGACACACTTTTTATCTCATAGCCTAAGGCAAGCAATTTAACCCCACTTAAGGACAAGCAACTGTAAGGGAGTATGTTCTTCATGCAAGCTGTGAGTTCCTGCTCTCTTGTGGTGCTATTTTTAATGTTTGTGGAGCAGATCAGGGAACTATTAAAATACTTTGTGGGGAAAAATGGCTAGTGAAAGATTGGAAGTCATCCTAGGAGAAATAAAAAGTAGATTTTATGCCTTTAACTTGAAAGTGAATGAGAAGGCATCAAGGTGAGAAGTTCTTTTAGAAGTTTAAAAGTATCCGCAACCCCTGATGTCAAATGATGTTTCAGGATCTTTATTTTTCTTACAGTGGTGTTAAAATTAAGCTGAGCTGTCTTGAAAGCTAGGTTCAGTTGTGAGTGTTGAACATCTCTGAATCTGGGCCTAAAAGTCTTGAGAGGCATCCAGCCCAGATGTATATCCACTTCCATAAATTCAAATCTATCTTTGGTTGAAAGAAAAGGAGAAATGAATGGGCACCATTCACAACAGGCTGAGGAGGGTCTGAATAAGCAGTCTGCAGGGAAATCTTACACAGTCCAGTCCTGGCCTCTCACTGGTTTTTGAGTCTTTCTCCATGGCCCTCTCTTGCCCACACAGAAAGATCATTTCCCAAAGACACAATATGCCACTTTTTCCCTCAGGAGAAATACTTGATCTAATCGGCACAGACAGTTGGTCAAGAGTCTTTTTGTTTGTTTTGGGTTCTTTTTGTTAACTCTCTCTCTTGTGTACTTCTGTAGCGTGAAACCTTTTTCTCAACAACCTTATGCTGTACAGCCTCCGCTGCCATTACCAGGTAGGTAAGGAAATGTAGTTTCTTGCTTTGAAATTATAGTCCAACTTCCAAAATAGCCAACGCTTCAAAAAGTTTAAAAATTGATTAAAAAAAATATTTTTACCTATTGAAATATTTTAGTGAGCTTAAAATTAATTTTTATATAATTTCCCCTTACCACCACTTCAGAGAGAGCTGAAGCTTTTAATTTTGTTTTATTAAAAAAAAACATTTTTTCCTATTTTAAGTTGGTTGTTTTGGGGTTTCTTGTCCTCATAGCTCAGCAGAAAATAAAAGTTTACGTATCTCTACTGTTCTTCCACCATGCTGCATGTACTAGAACACTGTTTTCCATTATAACATGGTTGCCTTTCCAATTTCTCATTAAGTGGAACGACAAATGTCTTTTCCTTCTCAGTTTCCCTATTTGGAGAGGTTAATGTTCATGTTCATTCTGTTACTAAAGCAGTTTATTTCACTGCTCATTTAAGGCTCAATCTAGGTCCTCTTAAAGTTGCTGAACATGTTTTCTCTGGTGTCAAAACCAGGTAGATTGTTTTTTACATCACTCTCAACCCTGACAGTGCTGTTTTAGCAGAGGGTGACTAACAAACCATTTAGAGCACAGGTAGGGTGAGAACTTTGTGAATGATATTTTTGCATGATGACTGAAGCCATAAGAAAATGTAATTAGTCAGGTGCTCTCCTGGAAAGCTATCACCAACTTTTCTCTTTTCTCTTTTGTTATATAAATCCTGTCTGCTCAGGGTTTGAGTCTCCCACTGGTCTCTCGCCTTCCCCATCAGCACCAGCTTGGCAAGGACGAAGGGTTGCTAGCTCCAAACTTTGGATGTTAGAATTCTCTGCGTTCTTGGAACAACAACAAGACCAAGACACGGTAAGATACACACCTGACTTCCACCCCTCATTAATTTTTGGTCTTCAGGTAGCTCCTGTTCATCAGGGATATGTTCTACTACTGTATGTGTATGGAAATACTTAACTTCCTTGCTCTGCTGACAATAGAAAGCCATCTTTGGGAAACACAAGATGTCCTTCTTTTAGAGGATAGAATTGCCTATAGCGATATAGCCAGCTCTGTGCCATGTGCTTCTGGCCTCCCTTTCCAGGGTCATGGATGTTCACACACCAGAGCTCAAGGCACTGAGGTCATAAGCCAGTGGTACAGCATTCTAGCTGTCCCGTTCAGCCTTGGACGATAGACGCAGAATCAGACGATGGTAAGATCTCATGAAGCCACATATTTCTCTGGTGTGCTGGGATCTTAAGTTTGGGGGCAACTGGGATGAGTTTCAATTGGTGCGTTTCCACAGTGCCACGTATAAAATGTAAGACTTGCCTGTGAAAATCTCTAACCCTAAACCTTGTGATACTGCATCTTGAGACATACGTTGGTGACGGGCCAGTTACATTTCCTCTGTCTGAGATAGGACAGTTCAGAGGAGGTGGTGGTATTTGACCGGTACCTTGCTGTGGGATTTCAGGCACCTCTTCATAGGACAGGAGCACTGATATTTGACTGAGTGACCTGTGACAGGTAACACTCTGTATCTCAGATTATTTCAGACTATATAGCAGCAGCATGAGGTGATGGTTTAGGAGTGAACATAGAAAAAACCGAACAATTATGTTTCAGAAGAAGCAAGAAGCCTGGATGTATTGATAAAAAAGAAGTAACAGCATGAGCTGGTATTAGCAGAGATATTTCTCCTAATACTTCTGCTCTTGCTTTTAGAAAGTGCTATCAATTCTTCAGTGACTTCCAGTAGTCTTCTGTGAAGAACCATGAATGTTCAGTATGTAGTGAATGATTTCCTAATTCCATGTTTTTCCTCTTCTTGCAGTATAACAAACACCTGTTTGTGCACATTGGGCAGTCAAGCCCCAGCTACAACGACCCCTACCTCGAGGCAGTGGATATCCGGCAGATCTATGACAAGTTCCCTGAGAAGAAAGGGGGCCTGAAGGAGCTCTTTGAGAGGGGGCCAGCTAACGCCTTCTTCCTTGTCAAATTCTGGGTAAGGGAAGCACCCTTTGTAGGGTACCCATTTGCTGTGAAGTTCTCACTGTTGAAGCAGTGGCCTCGCTAGCTGTTAGAAGACTACCGCCTCCCAACAAATTTTCCTTGGGAGGCAACTTAATACAGTCACAACTGTCACTGGAGATCTTTTTTGACTGCACAAGGCCCTCATTCTGGCCTGGAGCAAGATTTATCTTTCACAATGTCATCTGTAGAGTTGTTCTTGACTACATTTGGCAATTTTATTTGCTAATAGTGTGGGCCCTTTAAAACTTTCTGTATAAGAGAAGAATTCAGAGGAAATTATTCTCTTCTACTCTCCTGTGTTCATTTTTCTCAGTGTTGAGTAACTTTGCAGTCAAGAGGCAACATTTTTCCATCTCTTCTCCTATGTCATTAGCTGCATTTTGTGCTACCCAACTACTAATAATTTACAGATGTATATTTACTGCGGGCACAAGGACAGACAAAAGATAAGAGAGACATATAATGAAATTAGATGATGCTGGTAATATATTACTGAAAGGACTTCTCGTAACTTGGCAGGAATCAGCTTACTCACTCAATTTGGATTTTTGTGAGTTAGCTGAAATTTGCAAAATCTATGCCATTGCACTTCAGGGTACAAACAAAATAGTTTTGGTGATTGATATTATCAAAGGTATTACAAGATTAAAAATGAGAGCGGCTTGGGGCAGTTGCATGCTGGATGGCTGAGGGAATGTGTAATTTGGAGCCTTTCACCTTGAGTTTACCACTTACAATTCAACCCCAGGTCAGGAGTGAGATGAGAAATGACTTTTCCTATCTCTTAATAAAAACTGACACCATAAAGCCTCTGAAATGGTGCTCTCAGGAGAAGGAAGAGTTGACTTAAGTGCCTTGAGATGCAACTTCCCAGCTGTCCCAAGCCTAGCCTTTCCAGAATGAGGTTGGAGAATGTTGGCTGGGAGTCTGCTGCTCATGTGTTTAGAGTGTTCGTTATTGGTGATTCCTGGACACATCATTTTATTACCCGGAGACTCTGTGCTACTGAGCTGGGTCCCCCATGGGATCAGCCTCTCTCAGGGTACAACAAAGCTTCCTTGGGAAAATGGAAACAAAAAGTAAAAGACCAGTCGTGTTCCGGGTGGAAGAGAAATACTTGGGAGAGACAGCAGGGTGTCCTTTGACAAAATCTAGGTAGTGATTACCCTACTAAGTGCTGTCTGGAAAAGGGAAGAGAAGCCCAATGTGACAAAAGAAAGGAGAAAAAAAAACCTAAGTAAGAGGGTATAGCTTCTAAGAAATGGTCCTTGGAAAAGTAGGAGCTGTGACAGCTGCTTCCAGCTGTGGAGTAGGGGTAGGTCTTCATGTTGAGGTGAGGAAGGTCTTCATATTGAGGTGAAGAGGACTTGGTCCTGTGTGGTATCACTCTGAAGGGCTTTGGAAGTTTCGGGAAGCAAAAGGAAGAGCTTAGAGGGAGACATTACATAGAGAGAATAAACCATTTTGAATTCCTTGACTTAAGAGGAGAGAAATCATAATGAAATTGTGATCCAGTGTGAGCATGATTTTATTTATCAGAACTGTTAGTGTGCTTTTGTGCTTGAAGGGTTGGGTTTGGGGATTGCGTTTCTTTGTTTTTTAATATCAGAAGGATAAATGGTGGCCTATGCATCACCTCAGACCAACCTAAGTTAGGCTTTTGAAGGATTTACATGGAGGGGTGTCATTAAGTTGGACTCTTTCTGAGCCCATGTGAGGTGTCTGGTGTTCGGAGGGTATTGACTCACTGAAATTGACTTGCATAAAGAGATGTGACATAGGATTGGCAACACCTTTACTCCAACATATACATGATGCCCTGAGGCTCTGCATCTGTACACTTACAATTACAGTGATATTTCTGGGCTTGCTTTAATATTTTGACTTTCTGAATCTTTTTTTGGTACTCTTGCATTGTTGGATCCCATCTGGAGTTCACAGCAGGTTTTATTGATGGAATAAAAGTGACACTACAGGCTGTCACTTACAAAGAAGCCAAGTTTACAAGTCAAGTCATTGATTGAGTGGGTGCTGCTAAGGCTTTGAAGAAGTAAATCATTCAGTCTTGTATTTGTTTCTCAGTGTAGACAGTAGTAGGGGATGAAGATACCACTTCTGATGCCATATTCTGGATGAGGAAGGATTGGGGCACTTTTATGACTTGCTCTAAGGCAATACAGCTGAAGCACTTCTAAAAAACTTTTCCTCCAGAAAATTTAGACTTTTTTGAGGAAAACTCCAAACCCTTTTTGTTGCAGAACTTGGTATGCAACATTCCTGAAATATTGTGGTGATGCAGTCTTATACTTAAACAAAGCACGTGAGCCGTGCCTGTAACGTGCCGTGCTGCACATGTCATGGGACCTGCTGAGTTGGGTGGTGTGTTTGGTACAACCTGTGTGGTAGGTGTGTTTGGTACAACTCCCCCACTCATAAACACTTCTCACAGAGAAGGCAATGCGATTTAAAAAAAAACAGTTTAACAAAACTGTCAAGGTTTTTGATGCTGTCTCCCACAACATCCTTGCAGCAAAGCTTAGAAGGTCTGGGATAGATGAGTGGATGGTGAGGTGGTTTGAGAACTGGCTGACTCCAGAGCTCAAAAGGTTGTGATCAGTGGTGCAGAATCTAGTTGGAGGCCTGTAACTAGCAGTGTCCCCAGGGGTCAGTACTGGGTCCGGTCTTGTTTAACATCTTAATCGATGACCTGGATGTAGGGATAGAGTCCAGCCTCA